TGGCTGTGGGTGAATCTCTGGTTCTGCTGCTTTTGCTGCTGCTGCAGTCTGCAGGTGCAGAGGATCCTGTGGCTGAACCTTTGCTTCAGGTACTTCTGCTGCAGCCTGTTGCTGTGGCTGAACTTCTGGTGGTGGTGCCACTGCTGTTGTTGGTTCCTCCTTCGCCTTCTCCCCCTTGGAATTGGACTCTTTGTCGTCTGCCGGTGAGAGTCCAGCTTCCCCCTTTGGTTTCTGCTCCGGTGCCACCTCCGCCATCCCCACGGTCTCCGCCTTCGCCATCTCCAGTTCAACTGTGTTTGGTGCCTGCTGCTGCATTTGCTGTAAAGCTTCCGGCTCACTTGGCTTGGCCTCGGCCTGGGCCTGCTGCTGATGTTCTGCCAATGTTGCTGCATCTCGGCTTTGTGGGTGTTCCAGAAGTTCCGGTTCCGGTAGTTCCGGTTCCAGTTCCGGTGCCATTGCCTCATCAGGCAGCTCCAGTGAATCTGCTTGTGTTTGTCTTGTTGCTTCATCTTCAATTGTGGGACTAGTCATGGCTGGTGCTGGCGCTTCCGCTTCCGCTGCTGTAGCATTAGTTTCAAACTGCAGGTCCTTCATGAGGAGCCACACTTTGAAGCCTTTGAGATCTTCACATTCATCTCCCTCAGGATCTGCGAAGTGCCAGTCCTCTTCACTAAAGCATTCTTTTGCCCTGACATACGCCTCATGTTCCTTGAGATGAATGTGTTTTTTGGCTACTTCCAGTTGTCGACAGAACTCCTCATCGGGCATTGACTTGAACTCGTTCTCAACCCGATCAACCAATTGCTGCAGCCATTTGCCCTGCTCAAGGCTGAGTTCTTTGCCCTCCTTGTACTGCTGAAGTGGTGAAAGCGGTGCTGCTGTTGTTGCTGCTTCGTCTTCTGCTGCCGCTGCTTCATTGCTGAAATCTAAGCTGCGTTTGACAGTGACAGTGTTAGTTTGGCCAGAGTCAGAGTTCCCCTGACTCTGATTCATACCAGCTGCATTCACACCAGCTGAGGCTGGGATGCCGCGGCACCATTCATCCTGCCAAGCTAGGGATCACAACACTCAACACAGTTCACTACAAAAACTTTGAATTGAATTAATGAACTATGAATAAGCTTTCATCAGGTGCACAGTGCACAGTGCACAGTGACACAGACACAGCTTGCTACAAAATGAATTTGAATTATCTATGTGAATATACTTTCATCAGGTGCACCAGTGCACCCTAGTGCACAGTGTGCACAGTGCACAGTGCACAGTTATTAAAGATCAGGGTAGTCCACGTCCACGTCCACAGTAACAGTAAGAGGTCTTTCTGAGGTCTACTTGTCCCAGTGTCCGAGTCCGAGTCCCCCAAGTTTTGGCCGAGAAGCAATCTGGTGACGGCGCATCTGCAAGGTTTCTTGCAGCGGCTGTAGCATGGAAATCATACCATCAGCAAGCGAGGACCTGAACTGGCTTCTGACTGTGGTAGCGGCCACAAACGGTGCCAGCTCTAGTGTTTGGCAACTGGGTCACAAGTCACAAGACTCTAAGACCACACAGTCCGCAGTCCATAGTGTGGAGTCCAGCAACACGAACACCGTTTTAACAAGTGCTCAGTAAAGTTCAATGACCCAGTCTCCAGTCCCCAGTGTTCAATTCCATTTTACATTTTACTGACCAATTCCAGGCCGGCGCCGGCGCCGCTAATATTAGCTGAGTTGCCGCTGATTTTGAGATTTGACAAGCTCCAACTTGGCCAACGTCGTTTCATCAACCAGTGTCAAGGGCACCCGCACTGCCACGGCATTTGCAGCCAAGCACTTCTCTATGATGATCACACTGCTGGGCACATACAAGGCATCACCGGGAGTCATATATGTGATCTTCAAAGACGGTGGGACGCCATATTCAGCAGCACTGCTTTCAGCAAGATCAGTAAGTGTCACTGCCATTTGTGCATTAAACCCCTCAAAGAACCGCACCGCGCCGGTCAGAACAATATCTGTGTTCTTCGCTGCGGCGGCGGCCTCAGCCTCTACCTTGTCTCCAAGCGGAGTCAGCTCATGGTCCTTCAACCTTAGTTCACCCAAACAGGAGTCAGGAGTCCGGGCCCCGGGCTACTGCTACTCTATACTATACTACTGACTCACTCACTCACTCTGACTGACTCTACTACAACTTCTGTTTGCTTGAGAGGGGCATTTGCACAGATTGGAAACCCTCTTCGATGTCCAGTGTTGCACATAGCCTTGAGCCTTCCACCTGATAGAGAATGAAGGGCATTCCACCAGAGCAAAGCGACGTAGAGAGTTGTCCACGCAAAGCAGCTGCCAAAGACAAGCCACTGACCCTCATTTTTGCTCTCTTGACATCATCGTCCTTTGGATTGTCGCCCAATGCTTTCACCATCCTGAGGAAAATGGACACCATGAATGAATTCTGAATTGAATTGTGTTGTGAATTTGAATCCCGGTAAAATTGGCCTTTGAACAAACAGTGGACCATATCCACAAGTCGTATGTCATACTGTCATACATGTCCTTAAATCCCGTGTTTCAATACCCCAGGCCCAGGCCCAGGCCGCCCCAGACCCCGCCCCGCCAAGCCTCCCCTCTCAACTCTCAACCGTCTCAACCCCCCTCTTTAGTTTGCAGTGGAGGTTCAAGGACTCAAGCTCTGCCCGGTCCAAGACTACCGGAAGCACTGCTTGAAGATCATCTGGCTGCTCTTTCTCGCTTGTCACGCCAAGCTGCGTATCAAGCCCAAGGACCAAGCCTGGTCCATCAATGAACTTGTTAAGCCTGTGGTGTCCGGCCTTGTACTGCTCTTCGCACTGTGTCTTGAAGGCACTGATGTCCTAAGAGTTGACAGGGAAATGCCCTGGGTCGGGTCAGGGCAAAGACACAAAGCAATAGGTTAATAATATGCTAAGATAGTCTGAGCCTCAGTCTCAGTCAGTCAGTCTCAGTAAATAGTTATTATGTGTATGTGGTGGTCAGTGGTGGTGAGGTGAGTATGTGAATGTTATTTCTATTGAAGTCTGAGTCTAAGTCTAAGTCAGTCAGTCAAAACAGTCAAAAGTGTAGTATTGTTGATTATTGTTGTTGTTGCTGCAGTACTAGTACCAGTCAGTACTTCAGTACCGTGCCGGACCAAATCCCGAATCAAATATTTAAAAAAAATAGAAAGTGTCCTGACAATCAATTGAGTTTCTGCCGTGAGTTTCTTTGCATAAGAATTCACCGTCTCTTTGGAAATGCCCGGGTAGGAAGCAAACATTTTGCGCAGTACACCCTTGTCTTTGATGAGTTGAACC